ACTTTTCGCTGATTTCAACATCTTATTTAATACTAGTGGTTTGTCCGCGCTATGCGCGGATTTTTTGTCATTTCTGTTATTTAACAAAGAGTATTTGTCATTAGATTCACTTGTTTAGTCGAAAATCTACGATTGTAGTTGCTTTCTGTGTTGACGAACTTCATATTTTATTAGTTAAATGTGATCGTTGATAGAACTGTTAGTTTCATAGAAGCTAGATTATGAAATTATTCCAGTGTATGATAGCAATGTGCATAACACAAAATATTTTTGGTTTAATACAAATAGTCGAGGTAGAGTGATAATAACTTGTATTAGTTAATAACATAAACATAGTAGGTTATAGATAACATTTTTTTGAAAATAAGAAGTAATGAGCTAGTAACATAAGTCTCCTTAGATTTCTTGAGAAATTTTTGAGACTTTTGATAGTTGTTGATTTGCATTTATTTCAATATTATTTGGTGGAATAAAATACGTAGTTTTAGATTTGTAGTTGGAGTGGACTGTTTTAATTTATAAACCTGGTAATAAGTAATTTAACATTACATAATAGGTTTGTGAGTGTTATTAAATTGACTATGGTTGTGATTTACTTTTATAACTATAATCTACCACATTGTATTAAATATTGATAATTTTCTTTAATTTTAAATATAATATATTATTTAATTTTCCAGAAAGGGCATTGTTACAGAAACTTACAACTTGAGATCAAGCATAGGTTGATTAAACATTGAAATTGGTAAATCTAACTATCTGACATCCAAGATTCTTGTGTATTTCTTGTCAAATTATTTTATTTTGCCTTTCTTTCATTTAGACTATACAAATATATAATATTTTATTTTATATAAATATTAAACTTATGCTTGATTTTTTTATGAGATCAGTAAATCACTTTTATTTAGAGTACAATAAATATATATTTCCTCTATGTTTTATATTTATTATTTTATTAGTTATATTCTTTTTTTTTTGTTTTCTTAACTTTTTTTTTTGAAATCTTTGTTTTGACTATGTGCCATTTTTGGTTGTGGTTTTCAATCATTTTATTTTTAATTTTAACTTGATGATAAACATTATCATAAATCATAATCATAAATAGATTAATGTGCGTTGACAAAAAAGATTAATGTAATATGCTTGCAAAGTAGTCGAAAATTGTGAAATAATTAGGAAAAAAACTTCTGCCAACTCTCCACTCTTCTTTAACTTCATCCGCGTGTATCAAATTTCAATTAGTTTTTAGTTTTACAGATGTCATGTGGTGTGTAGAATATTTAATCATGCCTTCAAGTGGTCTTCTCTGGCAATCTGAAGACTCTACATGTTTTTAAACACCAATGGTTATGAACACATTAATCAATTTGAAGCTGAAAATTTATCAAAAATGATAAGCTGAACAACAGAGACTTTCCTTTAAACAAACACTGTTAAAAGATATACAAATCATACCTTTAGAAGGAGAGCCGGAAGATGAAGGTGTAATTCTAGCACTGTTCCACAGTCAACCTCCAGGACTTCTTAGAAACTCAGGACTTCTAAGAAACTCAGCACGTCCACTCTTTGAATTTCCCTTAGCAGCAGAGACCAGCCTCTGAATTTAAACCACAATGCTTTTCCTGCGTAAGCACAACATTTTCGGTAAAAGGCTCATTCTCAAACTATGCAACAGCTGAGTTCAGTATTTAAAACAGATCAAGCTATTCAAGATTCAGAAAGACAAAGAAATTTCACATCTGTAGTTATTGTGAAGCGTTTTGCTAAGAAGAAATCAAAGCAAGTTAGCTTAAACAAAAGCTCCCATCACCAAAGGAGTATCCATGTGCTCTGAAGTAAAAGAGAGAAATATATTACACATAAGAATTTTTTTACTATAGCACTTCTTGATTAGAATACGTAGTTATCTTGTAAACAATTTTTTTCTTTCATAAAAGGAAGGCTGCAGTGATCATATAGAACACAACTTTGACACCAGTCTAATGACTAAATACTTTTAAGTAAGATAAAGTCAAACATGCTTCATCTCCAAAGAACAAAAGATTGGTAAAAACTCTACAAACTAAACAGGGACAGCTACCTGTGTAGGCGTAACTAACGAATAAGAGTGATCAATATTTTGTTAGGAGGAACATATGTTAGTCGTTTGGAAAAAGGGGAAACGGTTTACCGTAAATTAATTTAGCATTCACGGTGTTAAGACAGCAGGAGTTCGTGGACTTCCGGCGGAACTCGTCCACAGCCTGATCCCACAAATACACATTCAGAACTGGGCCTCTGCAGGTGGTCAATGCGACAGTGTTAAAAAATTAATAAGCAGGATGTGTAGAGATTAATAGGCGGAACACATGAAAGAATAATCTAACTTCAAGCATTTCACTTCAGATGTTGTTTTCTCGATATACACACTGACTTCTTCGTGTTCCTTTTTTGCAGGGAGATCCCCCAACAACCATCTATATAAACACAAAGAAACAGTATACAAATATAAGAAAATAAGAGAGATAGGTAAAACAGAGTAACAAACACCAAAAGCCTCTTCTTTATTATACCTATGTTGAGAAACTTGTAACCAAGATAGACCATTTGAAACCATTGCATCAGAACTCAGATTATTATAATAGTAACTAATTTATGAATCTTGTATCAGATGTCTTTTCTTTATAATAGAACCAATAACCACGGGTTTGTTTGATGAGAGAGTTCCACTGATGTAAACTGAAAGTGAATCCACTTATTCCATCTGGCAAAAAGTGTACTGTATTTCCTCATTTTTATGCAATCTGCATCAGAACTCCATAGAAACTACACCAACAGCAACCAGCAGAAGAAAAAAATTAAATAAAAAAGTGTAACCGGAATAAAAACTATCAAAAATATATGAATCTTAGCACTTGAAGAATCACGAAGGAACAAACTTTTTTTTAGGTGGAAGACAAAAAAAGTACATGAGTGTGAGGTACAGAGCTCCAAATACGAACAGAACGGAGAGCCAAATATTAATTTGTTTGTTCTTGATTCCACAACTTGCCTCACTTGATCACACCAGAAGAAGCCCCAGGAAGCACTAAAGCTTCATCCGATACAACACTATCCCATAAAGCACCCACCATAACATATTAAAGATCTTCCTCTGCCATGGCTTACGGCGTAGTCCAGAATTGATTGACGGGTCAATAGGGGCAAATATTATCAATTCTGTCATGGGAGCCGAATGACAATCTTTCTTTTCCATTATCAGTTTCTTTTAATTGCTCAACTAAATAAGAATGAGAGGAAAATGGAGGGAGTGGTGGGGGAGACAGAAGGGCAACTTAGTGACAAAATTAGGGTTGTAAAGACTAAAGGGGGAGAGAGGTGAGTAATTAGGTTAGAAGGGAAACAGTGGATGTAGATCGACGAATTAGAGATGAAGAAGAGGTTGTGTGCTGACGTGGCGAATAGAGCTCCTTGATTAGAAGTTAGAACGGAGAGTTGATGAAAAGAGTTGCCACGTGTTTTAAAATGCCCTATGCACAATGCTGAGGTGGAAGACTAAGAAGAGAGAAAAGTCTGTTTTATTATATAAGACTCCTCCGTTTCCTTTTAAAATTTGTGCACACATATTAAAAAATATTTAATTTTGCATATTTACAAAACAAAAATAGCATTATCAATAAATTTATCACATTTCAATCAATAAAAATATAATAGTATATAAAGTTAATAAAGTTCACATTGAAATCATAAAATGATATTTATTTTCAAATACAAATTTCATTTTACAATGACAAATAAATTGAAACAAAGAGAATAATAAATAACTAACCATCGTGCGTTCAAAAAAAAAATTACCATCAAATTTGCGACATTTCACAAAGTATGCCGGATTCAACTTCCAACATTCCCAGAAATACTGTAGAAACTTTTCCTCAGATACATCCAAGCTGGAAAAGAGAAACAGCATTTTAAATAGGTCTCAGTGTTCATGTAGCATTGAACATCAATCTACACTGATGAACTTACCCATCTATTCGGAATCTTTCCCTCACATCCATCAGGTGATCGAGGAGATGTAAACAATCCCATCTATTCGGAATCTTTTCCTCACATATATATTGACGGTCATGATTATATACACACCAAAACAACTCGTGATAAGTAATTCTCCTATAAATCATCTAAGCTTATTAAGGAAAGGTGAGTGGTTGAAGGGTTCAAAGTGACCCCCTAACATACTTCACAAAGAGCTGTTCGACAAGTGACCCCCTAACTGTATCCGGAATATACTTACTAGGTTATATACCTCTCTCGCGGAAAGCTCCAATTCCACTCACTAGAAAGTGATTTTTACTTAATATGTAGGATACAAATAAACAAATAAGACTCTCAAATTTGGAACAAGACTTCTTATCTAACCTACACATACTTTTAGATAATCCCCTTCAAAAGCGACCTGTTAATTGTACAAAATAGTCTTCCCTGAAAAGTCCATTCACACAATCGCTCAGAGAAGCCCATATAAACTGACTGCTCCACACTTCTCCAAAGTGACAAAACTCCTATCGTAATTAAAAAAAAAAAAAAAAAAAATAGTACCAGCTTTGTTGGCATGGCTTCCACATTGAAGATTAAATTTGTCTTTTAGTAATGTGATCACGCACTTTCCATTGGCTGTATGCTAAATTATTTATCTATTTTTATTTTAAAATTAAACATACACCTGTGTGTTGATCTTAAAAATTTATCCACAGGGAAGCAAAGTAGAGAAAAAAAATAATAATAACAAAGAAAATTGTTTATTTTCCCTGGAAATCGAATTAGAGAAATCGACTAAACTGGTAGCCACACACAGATCACTTCCTCTTCGATTTTGACCAGATCTGATTGTTTTCGCAGAATCATCCTCCCAATCATCTTCTCATCGATTTTTGCAAAAGAATTTTTCTGATCTTTTAGGAGAACAAAGACGATTTAGGTCGTCGGAGATTTGGAGAAGGTTTTGAATTTCATCTGACATGTCAGACGCTCTTTCCGTGATTCCGTCCGCCGTTCATCGCAATCTCTCCGATAAACTCTACGAGAAGCGCAAAAATGCTGCCCTTGATGTATCTATCTATCTACTTTTTTTTTCTCGAATTTGTCTTTCATACTCTTAGTCTTATAGAACGGTGACGTTTTGATCGCAGCTTGAGAACGCAGTGAAGGCTTTAATAACTGCCGGTGACCATGACAAGATCTCCAAAGTCATCCACATGTTGATCAAGGAGTTTACTAAGTCCCCTCAAGCTAATCATCGCAAGGTTTTTTTTCGCAAATTTAGATTTGCATTTGCGTTTATGGTTTTGCAATTTTGATCAGTTTTTGTTTTCATAGGGTGGACTTATTGGCTTAGCTGCTGTAACTGTTGGTTTGTCTTCAGAAGCTGCTCAATATCTTGAGGTATATTTATATATGTAAATAATGTGGATGTAGGTTTGTTTGTAGAGTCATAATTGAGTGTGTGTATGTTGCTAACACAAAAAGAAAATATCTATGTAAATAGTGAGAGAGATATTTAATTTTTTTTTAATTAATACATCTGTGGTATTAGTGTACTTTCTTTCTCAGGTTATAGAATGCTATCTACTTGTTTCTTTTTGACTCATGAAACATGAAAGCAAATAACACTTTGTTGATGAACGTTATGTTTTACTACAATCTAATCAGTGTATAAATTCATGTGGTTTTAGTGTATTTCTTCTCGGATTATAGGAGGTTCTCTGATTGTTCTTTTTGCTTCATCAAACATGTAGCAAATAGTGCCGCCTGTGATTAACGCCTTTAATGATCAAGATAGCCGAGTTCGCTACTATGCATGTGAAGCTCTCTATAACATTGCTAAGGTAAAAAGGCTTTAGTTGTATCCATGTTTTTGTGGTTTAGCTTATGTGTGTTTATTGGCTTTATATGTTTGGTTTACTACAGGTTGTTAGAGGGGAGTTCATTTTTTTCTTCAATGATATTTTCAATGCTTTATGCAAACTCTCAGCTGATTCTGATGCTAATGTCCAAAGTGCTGCTCATCTTTTAGATCGCCTTGTTAAGGTATGGATATTTTCTCTTTACAAGCGTGCGTGGTGTGTTGATTTTAGTCGTGTGCTGATTAGAGTTATACTTTGTGGAATAGGATATTGTGACGGAAAGTGATCAGTTCAGGTGTGTTAAGCTAGCTTTTTACTGTGTATGAAAAAATAACTCTGATACTATTAATTTTAAAGACTTGACTCTCCATGTGTTTCTACTTTTTGGCATCTGAATTTTGCAGTATTGAGGAATTCATACCTCTGTTAAAAGATCGCATGAACGTTTTGAACCCTTATGTTCGACAATTTCTGGTAGGATGGATCACTGTTCTTGACAGTGTTCCCGACATTGATATGCTTGGATTTTTGCCGGACTTTCTTGATGGTAATTGTAGTTTTGTCAAAGTATAACTAGTTGTCTGTTCAGCTGAACTAACTTGTCATTAATTTTCCAGGGTTGTTTAATATGTTGAGCGATTCTAAACATGAAATACGGCAGCAGGCTGATTCGGCTCTCTCAGAGTTTCTTCAAGAGATCAAAAATTCACCAGTAAGATTTCCATTTCCGTCTGTTTTCCTGTATGTTTCCCATTTCTTGTTAGTTAGTGTGCTTTTTGAGATTCCATTGCTAACTTTCTGACTGGACCAGTACTGCTGTTGAAAGTCTGTAGATTATGGTCGCATGGCTGAAATACTGGTGCAGAGGGCTTCTTCTCCTGATGAATTCACTCGACTAACAGCCATCACGTGGGTAAGAAGAAAAACCATGCTTCTGCTTGGCCTTTTCTAGTTACGTTTATGGTTGCTACTTTGACTTTCCAGAAGATCAATATGCTCAGAATAGTTTGTTTTTTAATTAAAAATGTACTTTTGTAGATAAGCGAGTTTGTAAAACTAGGGGGTGACCAGCTGGTGCGTTACTATGCTGATATTCTTGGAGCTATCTTACCTTGCATATCTGACAAAGAAGAAAAAATCAGAGTGGTAAGTTTGGTTCATCCTTCTTAGTGATGGAAATTGTAGGTCTCGTATGCAACTTTTCACTTTCTTTGTGTTTATTTATTGCACAAGGTTGCTCGTGAAACCAATGAAGAACTTCGTTCTATCCATGTTGAACCCTCAGATGGTTTTGATGTTGGTGCAATTCTCTCTGTAGCAAGAAGGTTAGTTTTTTTCCTATTCTTTGTTTTTGGTCCTTTTGAATTCGATAAATTTTCGCCTAATTTTGTTATCTGTGAGTTGTTGCATCGACCAGGCAGCTATCAAGCGATCATGAGGCTACTCGAATTGAAGCATTGAATTGGATATCAACACTTTTAAACAAGCATCGTACTGAGGTGAAGAGACCTTTTTACGTATGATTTTTCAAATTATCTCTATTCTTCATCATTTTATAGTTAAATTGGTTATGTTTGGAACAGGTTTTGTGCTTCCTGAATGACATATTTGACACACTACTAAAAGCACTGTCTGATTCTTCTGATGACGTAAGTTTTGTTTAGCAGAGTGTTGTTTGGTGAATTTTATGTTATATAGGTTTGGTTTTATCTAGTAGTAAATCTAAATGATATTGAACTATCTGGACATAAAAATATATCATAGGTGGTGCTCTTGGTTCTGGAGGTTCATGCTGGTGTAGCAAAAGATCCACAGTACTTCCGCCAGCTCGTTGTCTTTCTAGTCCACAATTTTCGAGCTGATAATTCTCTATTGGAAAGGTTAGTCCCATCTTAGTTATAGGTATGTCTTTAAGTTTCTGGAAAGAACATTTTATTTAGTTGGTCAAAACATATCTCGTTCAGGCGTGGTGCTCTTATTGTCCGGAGATTGTGTGTACTTTTGGATGCTGAAAGAGTTTATCGAGAGCTCTCAACTATTCTTGAGGGAGAAGATAATCTCGACTTTGCTTCAACCATGGTTCAGGTATTTCTCCTTTCCCAGATTTATTCTGTTAGAGGATGTTTGAAGGTGTAAATAGTTAGATGATTGGTTTAGTGTGTCCCAAGCAGAGACTTGACATGTTCCTCTTCTTCCAGTAAATGATACTTAAATATTTACCAGCTTGATTCCTTATGTATTTGGCAGCCTTTTCTGTTCATGTTATTGTTATTTCTCACTTTGATTTGTTAATAAATGGATTGTCTTTTTCCTTTTTGTTTTGTTTTATGTTTCAGGCGTTGAATTTGATTTTGCTTACATCCCCGGAGTTATCAAAACTAAGAGATCTTTTAAAAGGTTCACTCGTGAATCGCGAAGGGAAAGAACTTTTTGTTGCCTTGTACGCATCATGGTGCCACTCACCTATGGCAATTATAAGTCTCTGCTTATTAGCTCAGGTAAATACAGAAACAAAAATGATTTGCTTACTTCTTAAAAGATCACCATCAGATATTGAAGATCAGCAAAATGGAATTATTGGCAGGCTTACCAGCACGCGAGTGTCGTGATTCAATCATTAGTAGAAGAAGACATAAATGTCAAATTTCTCGTACAGCTCGATAAATTGATCCGGCTTCTCGAAACTCCAATCTTTACTTACCTTAGATTGCAGGTTTGCTTGATTTATCTCAACCCAAATATCTGTCTCTTTCCAGCTTCTTCTTGTCTCACCTTTCCTCTTTTCAGCTTCTGGAACCAGGAAGATACACATGGTTGCTGAAAACACTTTATGGTCTTCTAATGTTACTTCCACAGGTACAAGAAGAAGAAAAATAGAACACATGTTTGATTTATCGCAAAATTGGTGGGGTGTTTTTTTATAGAGCCTATGTTTGTTTTCCTGTATTCAGCAAAGTGCGGCGTTTAAGATACTTCGGACAAGGCTCAAAACTGTCCCAACATACTCATTCAGTGGCGGAGGCCAAATAAGCAGAGCGTCTTCAGGAGTTCCTTTCTCGCAGTATATGCATCACCGCGAGGATGGTGACGCAGAAGACAATAACGTCAACAGTTCTCATCAAGGAATCAATTTTGCTGCACGGCTGCAACAGTTTGAGAACGTACAGAATCAGCATCGTGGCCAGGCAAGGAATAAAGTGAACTACTCATATAACTCATCATCCTCTTCGACATCAAAGGTACTCGCAACGCAACACATCTTTTTATCTCAAAGCTTTGATTGGTAACTGAATGGTTTCACAGTTCAGCAGCTTTTATATCAGTTACACTTTTTTCTTGCCAAATGAAGATTATGTTTAGTGGTATCATCATTTTTTTTACTTTTATAACAAACACAAAATAAAAAAAAATTATGTTATTATGTAAGTGGATTGTCTTTGATTACTGCTCCTTGGTGGTTTTGGTCAAATAGTTTTCTATAAATGTTATGTTCTTTTTCATTTTCTGCCATTATGTCAGTTTACAAACATTATCAACTGGAGTAGTCTGTTAATTGTTATTGATAAAATCTCAGTGTGCTTTAATTTGATGTGTTAGGAGGTGAGGAGTTCTGAAGAACAACAGCAACAACAACAACATAAACCGCCACCTTCCGCGGTATCATCATCAATTGCAGACACCAATCGACCTCCATCAAGATCCTCAAGGAAAGGACCTGGTCAGTTACAGCTTTAATCTTCATGGTATGGTAATGATACATAATATCCATCCCCGGCATCATCATCAATATTGTTCTTTTGGACACCACCCATCCTTTTGGACTCCTGTAAAATTGTATATCCTTTTATAGTGACTCTTCAAGTTTTGACTTGTGGAAAATCAAAGGTCGTGTCCATCCTCTCTCTCTCTCTCTCTGTCAGGTTTTATATTTTACGGGAGATTCTTCAGCCTTACCTTTTGTTTCTTGAATTTGCTTTTCTTTTTAAGGAAGATTGTTTGTGGATGTAAGAAAAAAGAAGTCATCATGTGGTTTTTTGTTGTTTTTTTTTACTGGGAAACCACATGAGGAAGAGATTGGTGCATGGATTACTTTTTGGATATTTATTTCGAGTGAGATGTTCCTTTTGATTTTATAAAAGATTTCTCCAAATGTCTTGCTCTTGTACCTCTATTTCTTGTTTTCACAATGATATAAGAATAAGATTTGCGTATTCGTTATGTAAAAGAGTAGCACTCGTTCGAAACATATATACCCAAACTAAGAGGTATCTTACGAGTGCCAGTTTCTGAGTTGTTTGACCTTCACCTTCCAACAGTCCTCTTAACAGTTCAAGACAAGGATAAGTCTTATAGTTGCGTTAAACAGCCCAAGCGATCAAGCGTAACTCTATATACTTCTTTTTAAGGAACACTGGCTTATTTATAGAGCAAAGGCTTCTGTTTTTGTTTCAAGTCCAAAATATAGTTGGTATTTAATAATTACAATTTTTTTGCATTGAATAGGATGCTTCACGTTGATGACTTAGCGCACCCAACGTCGCCGTAACGGTACCTGCCACCGACCCAAATGACCAGCATCACCGCCATTTCATTGGTCATCGTTGGCTTTACTAGTTTTCCAGATCCATTGTCCTAGAATTTAGGACTAGTATGACAGCAAGTTCGAGTTATGATTATTCATTTTGTCCAAAACATTGATTATTCTGGTTCACTTTAGAAATCTACAAAGAAGTAAAGAACCCCTCATTGATCATTTTTATTTTTATAATAGTACAAACTAGTTATAAGTTATAACCAATCTGGATTAAGAGCCAAAGCAAAAAGTTACAACGTATAAAAGGGATTGGATCGTAAGTGAGCCACGTCGACTGAAAATGACACAAGTTTTTTTTTTGGATTTTATCCAGAAGACAAGCGAAGTAAAAACAAACAAACAAAAGCCATTTACTTTAAATTATCACATTGTGGAAATTTATGCATTCTAGAAAAATAAAATTTTATATAGTGACTCTAAGTCTTCGGAAAAGATGTGCTCTTCAAAGTCTTCGAAATCCTATTTGGGTCCAGTACATAAAAACCATTAATAAAGTACACAGTTTTGTAGTCTTACGACAAATCATATAAAATTTAAAATAAAAACTAGTCCGTGCGAAAGAAATTTAACTAATTTTAATCATTAGTTAATTTACAGTAGTATTATTAGACAACTAGTTGCATATTCCCCGCGCAAGCGCGGAGCCGGGATCATTATGTTTGCGTGTATTTTTTTCGATTGTTGGTTTAGTGGATTCTTCTAATGACACCAATTAATAATGAAATGAAAAATTTAATGTTTTTATATCGTATGTCAAAACTTGATATAATTCTATATTTATAGTATTTATATTTGTATTAAACGATTTATCAATATGAAAATAACCTTAATTAAGTTAATATTCGTTGTTTAAGTTTCATTAGATAGGTTTTTATATATGTTTTTTTTTGTAAGTTTCGGTTTTGTTCATAAATGATATGGCATTTTTATCTACGGAGTCATCGACTGTGGGAATTCATTCGCCGTGTTTTTTTTGCTGTAAATAGTTTTTATATCGTAGATCAAAACTTGATATAATTCTATATTTATAGTATTTATATTTGTATTAAACGATTTATCAATTTGAAAATAACCTTAATTAAGTTAATATTCGTTGTTTAAGTTTCATTAGATAGGCTTTTATATATGGTTTTTTGTAAGTTTGAGTTTTGTTCATAAATGATGTGNTTTTTTTTGCTGTAAATAGTTTTTATATCGTAGATCAAAACTTGATATAATTCTATATTTATAGTATTTATATTTGTATTAAACGATTTATCAATTTGAAAATAACCTTAATTAAGTTAATATTCGTTGTTTAAGTTTCATTAGATAGGCTTTTATATATGGTTTTTTGTAAGTTTGAGTTTTGTTCATAAATGATGTGTCATTTTTATCTACGGCGTCATCAACTGTGGGAATCCATTCGCTGGAGTCTGGAATCGGTGGTGATGAATTTTTTTAAGGAAATTATATTAGTTATTAAAATGTAAGAGAAATTATATATTCATTTAATAATAACGAAAATAATTAATTTTTGTTGTTTTATTTTATTTTATCTCACATACAATTTTTTTGAAAATATATATTAGGAAATATGTGCAATGATTTAACTTTTTGAGCTCCTAATCTATATTATTCAACCTTCATTAAGTCATCCACGTATGCACCCGCGTGGAATTCACTTTTTTTTTTGTTTTTTTTTTGTCTGTTCGTTTTTGGATTTATTTTTTATTATTTTTGGGTTGAGATATATTATAATAGGATAATTTTAAGGTTCTTTTAGCCATCCGCGTAGGCAACCACGTGAGACTTGTTTTTTTTGTTTTTTGTTTTATTATTCGTTTTAGATTCATTTTTAACTATTTTGGGTTTGAACTTATTAAGGTTTAGGGTTTATACAACTATTTTGATCTTTAAAACAATAAGCCCAAAAAAAACATAAGAACCTTATAAACAAAAAGCCCATATGATAATAACCTAAATAAAAAAAATCAAAAATACATGATAGCTGCGTGGTTTAAACCCACAATCTTGTGGATTTAATTAGACACCTTATACCACTTGGCTAAAGTGTATTTCATTGTTTGTGACCATCTTACCAAGACTATGTGTGTTTAAAAAATATTTTTATGATGATGTCATTAATTGGTTTATGCATGAGAGCAGTGGGAATTGAACCCATGTCCTTGGAGACCAAACATGGGGTCTTAGACCACTTGGCTAAACTGATATTCTTTGTTTGTAATCATTTTAAAAAAACTATCTATTTTAAAATAAAAATGTGGGACCCACAATCTGCCTATGTGGACACCTTAAGGAGCTTTTAAACTGAATCATTATAATATAGATTTGGGTAAGTAGTTAGGATTTAACTAATGGATTTAATTTTATTTTCTATTTACAACCATATAAATTACCAGTGATGTTTTAACTAATTTTAAAATTGCAGTCACAAAAAAAAAAGTGATTGTAAGAACTTTATTTTCTTTTTTTGGGCAAATTTTGTTTTGGGCAAAAAGAACTTAAAAAAAAAATTATTGTAAGAACTTTATTTTTTAAAGCAGAAATATTGCTGTAAAACAATATACGAATATCTTTCATTTATTCAATTTTTCTCATTTAATTTCTACAGATACATCAAAAAAATTTACATACTAAATTCTACAAAAGTTACAATCGATCAATCTCCACCGATATACTAGTCAGTACTCTTCCAGATTTGTTTTTGGGAATTATATACTCAAAAATATTTGTTTTTTGTAACTAAAAGGGTTAAATCATGATCTATTAAAGATACATACATAATCCTCAAATAGAGATACAGTCCACGGATAGACCATCTTCTGAACGTTCACCATATTAGGTTTATTTCCTCAAGGGCCACTGGACTACCATCACTGATTAAAATTTACTTAGATTATTTCTATATTCTACTCTATAGAAATTATTTGTTGAGGATCAAAGTTTAGAATGTAAATGAATATGCACTATGAAATTATTAAAGTTACTTAGACTATCTCTAGTGGAATATATATATTTTCTTCTAAAACAAATAACTATATTATAGAGTTGTATTTGTTCGAATGGTGTACTTCTATAATAGATTAACTCTAAAAATAGAGTAAAATAGTAACATTTTTCTATATTCTACTCTATATTTTCTTACAAAAAGAGTAACTATATTATAGAGTTGAATTTGCTTCAATGGTGTGTCTCTATAACAGAGTAACCCCCGGATGGAGGTACAATTTACGGATAGACCATCTCTTGAGTATTCAAATGGACTGAAAGCAATAGCTCATATATGTGTGGTCAGTAGGATTTGAACCAAAGTTCGCCATATTAGGTTTATTTCTCTCAAACACCACTGAACTACCACCACTAGTAAAAATTTACTTAGACTATCTCTATATTCTAATCTATAGAAACTATTTTTTGAGGATCGAAGTTTAGAATAGAAATGAATATGCACTACGGAAATGATTAAAGTTATTTAGACTATCTCCAGTGGAATATATATTTTCTTCTAAAAAAAGAGTAACTATATTATAGAGTTGAATTTGTTTCAGTTATGTACCTTTATAATAGAATAACTCTAAAAATAGAGTAATATAGTAACATTTCTTTATATTTTATTCTATATTTTCTTCTAACAATGATTAACTATATTATAGAACTGAATTTACTCCAATAGTATGACTCTATAATAGAGTAACTCTAAAAATAGAGTAAAATAGTGACATTTTATCTATATTCTACTTTAAAATAACTTAAAAAATATAATAAAATGGTAACATTTTTCTATATTATATTCTATAACAGAGTAGTTCTATTATAGAACCACTGACGCAAATCCAACTTTATAACATAGTTACTCTATTTTGAAAAAAGAATAGAATTCCATTGGAAATCCCCTTATAAACTATAGCAAACACTCCCCACACTCCACTTCATTTGGACTGGTACATGCTCTCTTCTTAACGAACAATGTCATTTTAACCTTTACATATTAAAATAATAAGTTGAATACATTTATATTTTATTAATTGCACATTTTTGTAAACACTAAACATTCATTAATAAGAAAAATTACAGAGGGCAGATATGTTGGTAGAATACATTATCGGCAGGTTTACAATCTCTAGAAACTAAAGGTTTG